AGTTCACTATTATCGCAACACACAGACAGCCAGCTCATATGTAAGTCAGAACTACAAGACATTATTTATTATGAATGGCTACCTGGAGATGTTGCACCAATCCTATTGTATATAATTTAAACCCATTTATTTAAAATATTCTTATATATATATATATATATATATATATATATATATATATATATATATATATATATATATATATATATATATATATATATATATATATATATATATATATATATATATATATATATATATATATATATATATATATATATATATATATATATATATATATATATATATATATATATATATATATATGTATGTATAAATTTATCTCTTTTTTTCTATATATAGTGCTCAGCATAAATGAGTACAACCCTCACAGATCTCTTTGAGATTAATAGTATATTTCTATATAATGCTTTACAATATTATATTTGCGTATATAAATTAGATTAGTCGCTACCAAAGCCAAAACTGGAGCTAATATAAATAAATAAATAAATAAATAAAATAAATAAATAATAAATAAATAAATAAATAGCGTACAATCCTGCTCTAAAAAATAGTAAAACCAAATTTATTTTAGGGAAAAATATTACAAAAAATTTTATTTTAGGGGCTGCACGTTGGTTCAGTGGGTAGCACGTTTTTGTTTTTTGTTTTTGTTTTTTTTGTATTTCTCAAATGATGTTTAACAGAGCAAGGAAATTTTCATGGTATGTCTGATAATATTTTTTCTTCTGGAGAAAGTCTTATTTGTTTTATTTATTTTATACAAAGCAGTTTTTCATTAAAAAAAAAACATTTTAAGGTCAAAATTAGCCCCTTTAAGCTATATTTTTTTTATAATCTACAGAGCAAACCATGATTATACAATTACTTGCCTAATTACCCTAACCTGCCTAGTTACCTAATTAAAATAGTTAAGCCTTTAAATGTCACTTTAAGCTGTATTGAAGTGTCCTAAAAAATATCTAGTCAAATATTATTTACTGTCATCATGGCAAAGATAAAATAAATCAGTTATAAGAAATGAGTTATTAAAACTATAATGTTTAGAAATGTGTTTAAAAATCTGCTCTCTGTTAAACAGAAATTGGAGAAAAAATAAACAGTATGTACAAATCGTAATAGAGATAGACAGTGAGACAGTGGGTATGCAGCTTTATAAAACATTCACGACAGAGAAGGATGTCGCTAATCTCCATTAATACAGTTCAAATACTGCGCTGTAAGCCTGTAACAATAGCAAATGGTTACATAACCAGCACTACCCACCCCATTAATAAATTGACTCTCAGCTAGTCTTTGAAGAGCTAATATCTCTGGTTGGACTCGGAAACGAGAGGAGAAAGTCATTTGAGACCTGGATAATTGCCTCATTTATTTTACTAGCCAACAGGAAGCTCCACGTTTATGGTCAAGCCTTGATCTATTTACAAGCAGGTTAAAGACTGCTGTAGATTCATTTATAGCTGGAGTCGGGGTTGCAACTCATTGCATATCCATCCATACATATATATACATACATACATGCATCCATACAGTTGAAGTTCCTTCTGTGAATTATTTTTCTTTCCCAATTGATGTTTAATAAAGCAAGGATTTTTTTTTCACAGTATTTTCTATAATATTTTTTCTTCTGGAGAAAACCCTATTTGTTTTATTTGGCTACAATAAACGCAGTTTTAAATTTATTTGTTTTTTAAATTTGCATTATTAGAATTTTAAGTTAAAGTCCCTTTTTAATCTTTTCATCAATTTTCTAATGCTCATTTTTTTGTTTCTGCCTTTCAAGTGTTGCCAGATATATATGTACACTGTTAGACCTTACCAGGGTTTTTTACAGTAGAATACTGGCAACAGTGTTGCCATAGCATTTTGGTTTCTGAAAATGTTTCCGCATAGCATAATTCAATGCTCTCACCCACCTCCCCCAACCACCTTAGAGAGTAATATTAGGTATGTACACCAAAAACATATATACCTGGCTGTAAACACCTTTTTTCTACTGTAAAGTTGGCCATTTTAACGTTGGGTTCTATAGGAATTTCCTCTCTTTTGGAGCCAGCCCTCAGTGGCCAGTCCATGAATTGCAGTTTCAGTGACTTCTATCTTTGCTTCACGAAATATATATATATATATATATTATTAATTGTTTAGCAATTTTTTTCCACAGTAATGAATTGCCATCCTCTTTAGCAAGTAACTTTTTTTATGTTCCTACACAACAGAAATCAATATAATCAATTTGAAATGAAATTAGAGAGAGCAGCAAATGAACAAAATGTTATTTATTTATTTATTTATTTATTTATTTATTTATTTATTTATTTATTTATTTATTTATTTTTCTACTGTAAAGTTGGGCATTTTAACATGGGGGCCTATAGGAATTTCATCTCTTTT